CAGTGGTCGGCAAACTGCGGCTCGCGAGCCACATGCGGCTCTTTGGCCCCTTGAGTGTGGCTCTTCCACAAAATACCACGTGCGGGCGTGCATGTACAGTGCAATTGAAACTTCGTGGCGCATTCGCAGAAGTCGGTATTTTGTGGAAGAGCCACACTCAAGGGGCCAAAGAGCCGCATGTGGCTCGCGAGCCGCAGTTTGCCGACCCCTGGTCTAGACCCTGGATTTCCAGGAGCCTCAGTCTCCGCATCTGTGGTAGCTGCCCGTGAAGAGGGAGCGGTCGGAGCGTGTGCGTGTGGGCGTGTCACGGGAACCTGCACGCATGTCAGGCCTCCCCAACAGGAGTGTCACTGAACGAGGGGGCAGGCGGTCCCAGCAGGAGGGCGGGGTGGCCCGCGGGCAGCACGCTGCCAGGCGCCCTCATGGCCGTGTCAGGAGGTGTTGGGAATTAGCCTGCGGTTGGCGAGACCAGGAAATGTTTTCTTTTTGGATGATTCACACGTTTTCAAGACTTCGTTACCCTCATCTGTTTCCCATCAGAGAAGCCTCCACATGCCTGTTTACTGGAAGGGGGCGGAGAGGAGCGGCCAGGGGGGCTGTGTGCGCCCCGCTCTGCAGCAGCCGGGGGAGGAGAGCCCCGCGAGAGAATGGGGGGCCGTTGCCCCAAACAAGGGAGCAGGTGGAGTCCTCGCTCTTTCGGGGGGAGATGGAGAGCCAGAGAGAGGGGCTGGGGCTGAAGAGAAGGCATGTGAGTACCCTGGACACACACACACACACACACACTCACACACATGCACGCGTGCACATGCACTCCCTCACACACATGCACACATGCACACACATGCACACACATGCACACACATGCACACACATGCACTCACACACATGCACACACACTCCCTCACACACATGCACACATGCACACACTCACACACAAGTGTGCACGCACACATACTCACATGCACGCACATGGACATACACACTCACTCACACATGCATACACACATGCATGCATAGTCACACACATGTGCACACACCTACATACACTCACATGCACACACTCAATCACACACGCACATGCATGCAAGCACGGACACACATACACACAGTCACACACGCACACATGCTCGTACACACATGCACACACCTGCACACAAGCACATTCACACACACAGACCCCTGCCTGGGGAGTTCCTGACACCGTCCACCAGGAGGCGCTGGTGAGCAGAGCCCAGTGGACCGTCCCCTCTGAGTCTAACCCCGTGGTCGGCAAACTGAGGCTCACAAGCCACATGCGGCTCTCTGGCCCCTTGAGTGTGGCTCTTCCTAAGCCTTAGGAGCGCCCTCATTAAGTGAATAACAATGTACCTGCCTATAGAGTTTAAGTTTTAAAAATTTGGCTCTCAGAAGAAATTTCAATCGTTGTACTGTTGGTATTTGGCTCTGCTGACGAATGAGTTTGCCGACCACTGGGCTAACCCTCCGGGGTGGGGTCAGCTGGGTGTGGGCTGCTGCAGACACAGTCACTGACCTCGCTAACCCCAGGGCGGCTGGAGGGTCCCGAGGGAGCCAGCGTCCCCCCTCCCCCTCTCCTCCCTGCACTCAGGCCTGGAGCAGCCAGCGCTCTCTCCAACCGGCCCAAGAGGCCTCAGGAAGCAGCTAGAGCCCTGGTCGGTGTGGCTCAGTGGATAGAGCGTCGGTCTGCAGACTGAAGGGTCCCGGGTTCGATTCCAGTCAAGGGCACATGCCTGGGTTGCGGGCTAGATCCCCAGTGTGGGGGCGGGGTGTGCAGGAGGCAGCCGATCCATGATTCTCTCTCATCATCGATGTTTCTCTCTCCCTCTCTCTTCCTCTCTGAAATCAATCAAAATACATTTAAAAGAAAGATTGCATTGAATTTTACTTTCTGTGGTTCTATTTCCAGAATTGTGTATTTTGAATTGAGTTGATATGCTTTCTTAGGCCATAGCTGTCTACTGCCCTCAATCCTACTACTTGTCTGGTGGACCTGGTATTTCTTTCTTTTTCTTTTAAAAATATATTTCTTTATTAATTTTCAGAGAAGAAGGAAGAGAGAGAGAGAGAGAAACATCCATGATGACAGAGAATCATGGATCGGCTGCCTCCTGCACGCCCCCTACTGGGGATGGAGCCCACAACCCGGGCTTTGCCCTTGACGGGAATCGAACCCGGGACCCTTCAGTCCACAGGCTGATACTCTATCCGCTGAGCCACACCGGCCAGGGCTGGAGCTGGTATTTCTACTGCTCCCGGCAAAGCACCCCAGTGTCCCTGGGACGGAACCATCTCTCCGTGTGGGGCCGTCTCAGAGGGGCTGTGAGGGCAGGGCCTGTCCCCTGCCGGTGGAGGGAGCGCACACGGCCGCCGGCCCAGCCTGTGCTTGCCCTGAACGTGACCTCTGAGCTCTGTCCCGGGGACTAAGGGTGGAGCCTGCAGACAGGGACGCCCCCAGGAAGCTGCCCGCCGGTCCCCGCCCCCCAGGGCCCTGCAGCCGCCCTGTGCCCTGTCCTCTCTCGGCCCGGCCGCTCGGCCTCTGGATGAACACAGTCGAGTCAGACTCTGTTGCTTACAACCAGGCCACCCGAACGGACACATCGCTCTGGCCGCTGAGAATAACGAACCCGATGATGATGTCTGCGGTCCCTCTTCGCCGCTAACCATCTGGAACCCCGAAACCGCGCCCACCACAAACGACAGGCGTCAAAGTCAAGATGGAGGAGAAGAAAACCCAAAACCAGCCGTTCTCAACCTGTGGGTCGCGACCCTGTTGGGGGGTCGAGCGACCCTTTCACAGGGGTCGCCTAAGACCATCAGAAAACACATATATAATTACAGATTGTTTTTGTGATGAATCACGATGCTTTAGTTATGTTCAATGTGTCACAATGAAAATCCATCCTGCATATCAGATATTTACATGACGATTCATCACAGTAGCAACATGACAGTGATGAAGTAGCAACGAAAATAATTGTATGGTTGGGAGTCACCACAACATGAGGACCTGTATTAAAGGGTCGCGGCATGAGGAAAGTTGAGAACCACTTTTGGGCCAAAAGCTATCAAAAGAAGAGATTTTAACATCCCTGGCAGATCGCATGGTTACCTAAGAAATGTCCACTCCCCCGTGGGAGAAGCAGGGCTCCCCACCCCGTGCGTGGCGGCCACGTGATGTGCTCTGGCCAGTGGGATGTGGGCAGAGGCTGCAAGTCCTGCACCCAGGCCCCCAGCGTCCTCCTGCGTCTCTGTGCACCCCTCTGGGAACCTCCAGCCCCGCCCCCCACCCGCCAGAGGACTGTGTCCTGGGGAGACGAAGAGCCATGGGGGCCGCCGTGAACCCGCCTCTCAGCTTGGAGAAGCTGAGCCCAGACAGCCTGCAGGTGCACGAGTAAGAAATCAGAAAAGGTCTGTGGTGAGATTGCGACGGGTCCTTTTGTTACGCGGCGCGCTGACGGATACAGGTCGTCCGTCCGTGGCTCCAGCCCCAGGTCCCGCCGGCCTGGGATGGGGCGGAGCGAGTCCTACCTGCTACTCGGACCTGGTTGGGGGCACAGGCCCGGCAGGGAAGGACCCGGAACTCCTCGGCCTGGTACATGGAGTAGTCGGTGCTGGCCACCACCACCGTGTCCCCAGGCTTCCACGACCGCACGTCAGCCTCCAGCGTCAGGAGTGTGCTGTTGACGTGGGTGTCGATGGTGACGGTGAGCTTGGGCCTCACTGTAAGGACCCCGGGCGGGCGGGCGGGAGGGAGAGAAGGAGGGAGGGAGGGAGAGGCGGGCCCTGGCCCTC